ACTGGAATTACAATCACGGCGTTTTATGTGCGTTTTGGGTATCAACTTCAGGTCTTCCTGTGTGCAAGGCAAGCCTTGGGTGGTCACAATCAACCAGGAGCAGCTCTGCCCTTTCCAGGTTTGAGCTGGTGGAGGACACAGATGGCTTCTCCCCCAGACTTCTTGGTCCAGCTAGTCACAATCAACCAGGAGCAGCCTGTCCCCACAGGCCTGCAATTAGCTGACAGGAACTAGCCACAGAGAGTACGGAGAAGCCAGGGTGGTGGATATAGATGTACCTCAAGGAGTAGAGCGGGACTTGGAGTTTTTGCAGTCTTTCTTGGTTTGGAATGGCTGCGGAGACGCTCTCTTGCTGGGTCTGCGGCCAAAAGGGAAGGTCAGCAGGTTGCTTCTCAGCCTCTCTGAGGTAGCAGAGAATCTAGGTTTTCACCTCAACATCTGACTCCCGAGTCATTATTGGTAAATAGAATGATAGCTACTTGGTTATGAACTCCATTTGTGGCAGAGCAGAGCTGGCGCAGGCAGACTAGAAGTACCACCAGGCCATGACACTGACTGACTGTAGGGCAGCAGGGTTGCAGACCATAGTTACAGTACCAGGAGACTCAGGTGCAGAGGAAAAGCTGACAGAAAGCAGTGGTCCTAGACCCTGAACAGCTGAGGGGGCTGTGTTGATGTCTGTGGCTCCTGTTGCCACAGAGAGCCATGCAGAGGCCTGTCATCTGGGCTTTCACCTGGGGCCATGTTGTGATCAGCGGGCCATGCTGTCAAAGGGGCCATGCCAATCTGAGTGGCCTGCACTGGCACCTGGAGCCATAGTGACATCCTGGACCCTGCTCTCGCCAAGGGCCATGCCTGGGTCAGTGGTTATACGACAGGCAGGGTCTGTATTGATGTCACTGTCCCATAAAGCCACCAAAGTCTACACACCTGTCCACATACCTATGACCATGTTGGTGTCTGAGTGCTTGGCTGCCACAAGGGCAAAGCCTTTTGGAGTGGCCAGAGTTGTCATCTGGGACCATGATATCATCCAGATCAGGGTCTGTGTTGATGTCTGTAGTTCCTGAGACTGTTGAAGGCCATGCCAATGCCAAGAACCTGGCTGCTACTTGGGGACATCTTGGTGTCATAGGGCCTTGCTTCTATAGGGACCACCTGGGATCATGGTGACACCTGGGCCTGGGATGCTACCCAGCCTCTTTTCTGGATCTGCGGTCCTAATATAGCTGGGGTCTGTACTGATGTCTGTGACCCATGTTGCCACCAGAGACTGTACAGATAGGCCACAACCTGTGATGATGAGGGTGTCTGAGGACACCTGATGTTGACTTCTGGTCCCCACAAGCACAGGCACACACGTGCACAACCATGTCCACACACATATGTACACTCTCAACATGCATACACACGCAAAAAAATGTGTTATATTAAATTGTAAGGGTTTCCTTTAAAGAGTGCAAGTAAACATGTCAATAACCCCTAAACATCTTTTATTTGCTTGTTTTTGTTTTTCAAGAGAGAGTTTCTCTGTGTAACAGCTCTGGTTGTCCTGGAACTCATGTTTTGTAGACCAGGCTGGCTATGAACTCACAGAGACCTGACTGCCTCTGCCTCCCAAGTGCTTGGCTTAAAGGCGTGCACCACCACACCAGGCAACCCATAAACATCTTGAACCCACCTATTGTAGTCCTGTGTCCTGGAGATCCTGCAACTATGGTTCTGCAGGACCAGCTCCTTCACTTGTTCCAGAAGTTCACAGATGTGTAGATGCTGGGGTGAGCCAACTTATCTCTGTGGATTTGGCCTGAGTGGTACCTGGGATGGTCAGCCCACCCACTCTCCTGCACCTGTGCCACCAAGGCCAGCTCTCCACACTGCCTGCCCCTGTGAGTGGCAGGATCAGCTCACCTGAGTGACACAGCTGGTCATGGGTGGGGCTAGCTTTCAGGCTCTGCTGCCCAGGAGAGCTGCATAGGACATTTTCTTAACTAGTGATTGATGTGGGAGAGCCCAGCCTCTGCCTCGGCCTCTGACTCCATGTTCCTGCACGGTTTGAGTTTTTGTCCAGGCTTCCTTCAATGCTGACTACAATGTGGAAGAAGTGTAAGCCAAGTAAACCTTTCCTCTAAAACTTGCTTTTTGGTCATGGTGTGTCCATGCAGCAATAGAAACCCTAACTAAGACACATGCTTAGTGTCACATCTATGGGGAAATTCTTATTGAAGCCCACTGGCTGTGGTCTCAGTGGTGGAGTGAGGAGGGTATCATGGGTGGGTGAGGCCATGGCTGTGGGGGTGTGGGACAGACTGACAGGAGCAGGTTTTTGTTAGTTTGTTGAGAGAGAATTTCTCTGTGTAGCCCTGTCTGTCCTGGAACTGGATTTGTAGACCTCACACTCAGAAACCTAAGGTGGCGGCACATGCCTTTAATCCCAGCATTTGGGAGGCAGAGACAGGTGGATCTCTGCGAGTTCAAAGCCAGGCTGGTCTACAGAGCTAGTTTCAGGACAGGCTCCAAGGCTACAGAGAAACCCTGTCTCAAAAAAAAAAAAAAAAAAAAAGAGCTGTATGGTCAGCAGCAGCCCTTCTGACTAGATTGAGATGGATTTCAAAGCAGTTTGAATTCTCATTTCCTTGATAATTAAGCATCATTACTCTCAAAGTCTGCATTGGTCACTTGTGTTTCTGAGAAGGACTACCCTTTAACCTCCACATAATTCCTCCTGCAGAATAAGCTTCACATATGGGATTCTAAGTGTCACTCTGGTACCAAGCTCCATCTGCCTTTTAATGTTTCATGTGCTGGTGCCAAATCCCTTGCTGAATTATTTTGTCAGGAAAAACATCATTATTTTTATTCATGGGGTGGAGAGAGGGGGGGAAGGAGGGAGGGAAGGAAAGGAGAAAGGAGAGAGAGAGAGAGAGAGAGACAGAGAGAGAGACAGAGACAGAGAGAGACAGAGGGAAGGAGGGAGAGGGAGAGAGAGAGCGAAACAGAGAGCGAGAGAAAGAGAGAGAGAGAGAGACAGAGAGAGAGACAGAGAGAGACAGAGAGAGACAGAGAGAGAGACAGAGAGAGAGGACTGATTTTAGGTTGACAGTCTTTTTATCTATACTACCATGAAGAGTGAATTTGCTCCTGCCAGAGGCTTTCTAAGGCAGAGAACTCCTCCTGCAGGCAGAGGTATCCAATCAGGGATGCAGCCCACTAGGCCCCGCCTGCAGTGAGCAGTTCCGCCCACAGTACAGGACGGGCCTGGCAGAAGACAGATGGACAGCTAGACTGCCCAACCCATCCCCAAACCCGCAGTGAGCTCAAACTGTTAGCGCGCCAAAGACCAACAACTGGATAGAAAAACACTCAAGTCCCCCCCCCGTGCCCAATCAAGTAATCCGGAAGACTTAAAAGGCCTGAGTCACACAGTTCCCTGCGACCATCGCCAAACCCACGCGAGAGCCAGGCCTGCTCCTCTAGACCTCACAGGCAGGTAACCAATTCACGTCTGGAACGCCACCCGATCACAGACGCGCAGAATTTGTACCCGAGGCTGAGAGTTCTGGAAGGAAAAGAGTCGTGGCTGTTGGAAGTTCTGCTTTCAAGGAAGCCAGGGGAACCGGAGCGAGAGAACTGAGTTCTTTCTGACAATTTGGAAGCAGTGAGAGCCTGGTGCCATCTTCGAGGGGACCAGGGTGGGATGGGAGGCGGGAGGCACAGGGGACGGCCTGGGAAGAGCTTTTCTCCTCTTGAATGAGTTTTATCCTGTCTCGTGTAATTCATCTAGGCATTTGAATAGATCGGTTGGTAGATGCAGACCGATGGGCAGAGGATGGAGAGCACTGGGAGACAGGACGAGAAGGGGCGAGTAAGAAGGGCGGCAGAGACGAAAAGAGGAACTAAAAATCCCCGGGAACAATCAGAAGCTCAATGAATCTGAAGTTTGGGATTGCCAAAGTTTAGTTTATCAAACACATTCTGAGTTTCAAGTTTCCCGGTATTTAGCAGACTTCCTACTGGTCTCTTGGTTCCCGCGGCTTTGGCAGTGAGCGGAGCAACCATTGGAAAGGAAAAGCGGGACCTCAGTGCAAGCCAGGCAAATGCACTGGACCTGGAATCAGACCAGGCTCAGGGTGCTTAGAGCCCCGCAGCTCCGCAACGCCACCACAGAGGTCTAGCCCGCCAAATCCGGGACCTGGAGGCAAGAGCACTCCAGAAGCCAAGGTGAAACGTGTGTGTCTCTCCTGCCTAAAGGTCCGGGTATTTTATCAGGCTCAGAGGCAAGTTCCTTCAAAAGGGTGAGTGAGAGGGGTTGATCCTGGTGGGTGCTACCCTGACCAGGCCAGCACGGAGGGTGCGGGTTGTGTAGGGGGGGGATGGGGAGCTGAAGAGTGAGGGACAGGGTGGCAGGGGTGAGGGTGGGACCACACCCACTCACGCAATCACGCGTGCGCACACGAAGGGATGACTCCATGGCCAGTCTGAACTTACCTTGGGACAGTGCCTTTCTCCTTGCCCAGCTCTGGGTGCTTGGCAACAGTAAAGGAAAGTTTTGGTCTATAATAGATATGGAACCCTGGGCCTGTCTCCTCTCAGGTGTTGAGTGTGTCTCTACAGACCTGCCCAAGATAAAGTTGCTGGGAAAAAAAACGCCAGTGGTGAATATCACTTATATGAGCAATTTTACCACTTGACCTAGTAATTCAGTTTCTGGAAACCTCTGTAGTGTGCCTATGATAGTGCATTCTTAGACAATATTACCTTTCTTAAAAATGAGTTATGAATTTAGGCCCACCCTCATGTTTTAGTCATAATTCAAATCCCAGAGTCAGACTTCTTTCCCACAAGGTTTTCTTACTTCGAGATTTTATTTCTTTTTTGGGGGGAGGGGATTCTATTTCTTTTCTTTTCCTTTCTTTCTTTTTTTTTTTTTTTCGAGACAGGGTTTCTCGGTATTGTTTGGAGCCTGTCCTGGAACTAGCTCTGTAGACCAGGCTTGGTCTCAAACTCACAGAGATCTACCTGCCTCTGCCTCCCGAGTGCTGGGATTAAAGGCATGCGCCACCAATACCCGGCTGGGGGATCCTATTTCTTAATTGCTGAGATTTAGTTATTTGTTTGTGTATCCTTTCAGGATTCCCACCTCCCCTTCTAATAGATCTTTATATTTATATTCCTGAACCACATCGACTTGTAGATTGAGGAGCTTTATGAAAGAGCCTTTGGGCTAATGAAATCCAGTAGCTGTAGCCTGAAGGACTGATGCACGCCTTTAATGCCAGCACTCAGGATACACAGGCAGGCAGACCTCAGTGAGTTATGGGCCAGACTGATGTAAATATAGTGGCTTAAGGTCAGCCAAGGGGACATAGAAAGACCCCATCTCCAAAAGCATAAATGAAAATAGTAAGAATGAAATATAAATAAATAAAAAATCAGCAGATGTGATTAGTATTCTAAAGAGGCAGTTTGGGTGACGTTTCATCCTTATACATATTACCCTTACCATCCTTCAGTCATCTCCAATCTCAGGTGTCATGGTATCATGAAGCACTTGCATTAATATGATTATGAAATTAAGTAGCAGTTTACAGGAACTGGGGGCATGGTGCAGAGGTTCAGAGCACTTGTTACTCTTGCAGAGGGCCTGGGTTTAGATCCTAGCATGGTGGTTCACCAACATCCCTAACTACAGTGCCAGGGGATCCCTCTTCAGAACTCCAAGGGCACCATGCACATGAGTGGTGCACATACATACATGAAACAAAACACTCATTTAAAGAAGCTGCAGCTTACACGGTTTTGACTGAAGCTGTTAACCATTATTTTACAAACTAATTATGAATGAGATATGATGGCAAGGCAAAACAGAATTCCAAACTTTCCACTTTGGAAAGATGATGGTGAACTCTGCCATGGGAGAAAGAAAGCACATCATGTCGGGAAATGCTCATTCCTTTAGCTGTGGTTTAATGCATGTGCTGCACAAGGGTTCTGTCCTCAACTGTCCACACATCTGGGCAGAGCTTTGTCACTCCTTTTGGGAAGCGGCTGTAAACTGACACCAGCATCTGTCAACCACCATGTTAGAAAAGCATCATAGATGCAGAAGCTTAGCTCAAACATTAACAGATTGATTCTGTCCTAGACGTGACAATAGAGTGATGGGGTGTGTACTTGGGAGGCTGAGGTGAGAGAAGCTTGGAGGCTGGAATTCAGATAACCCTGGCCAGAGAGAGAAGGAAGACAAAGGAACAAAACTGCTTCATTCCCTCTAGGGAAACATTAAACAAACAACAGCAGCAAGAAAATAAACCTAGAACTCATGAAGGTTAAATATTTATCTAGGAGAACCCACATTCAGCACTGAAGGAGCTCTCATCTTTGCAGGGCTCCTGCTCTGGAGGAGGCTATCCAACGTGAAATTCCCTCTCTTGAGCACAAAGGACTTCAAGCAACTCAGATTCCAGCACAAGGTAGGGTGAGCCAGGCTCATACCAGCATCCTGCAGACTCATTTTCTTTCTCATTCTGTCCCCATCCCAGCAATAGGTCCTGGCTATTGATCTGGGATGAATAGGAGTTGGTGATACATCCCATTGTCTCATGTAAACCCTGGAGAGTTTCTATCCCTCCCAGACTCTTTGGCTCTGGCATCTCCACAGCCCTGTCTCCAAAACCACCAGCTGCTGAGGGCCTGGATGCTGCAGGAGTTTGGCGAGAGCAAATGCTTTCATTTTTGTAGGATGGGAAGAGGGTAAGTGTGCTGATTTATTCTTAGTCAGCAACAGAATTCCTGGGACCTGGGTATGACCCTCAGTGCCACAAACATGAAGTCTTACCTTGGTAGCTCCGTGCACTGACAAATTAAGCTTGGTCTAAGTCTGGCTGGTGAGCAGGGGAAGAGGGGTTTGTGTAGACCTCCAGAGCCCCTTGAGGATGCCCCATCCACTTCGAGACCTGACCCTACAGCAGAAACTGAAGAAAGATCTCTACACAGAGAAGAATGAAGTCATATCTCACACTAAAGATACAGGAATCTAGAAAGGGACTAAAGAGATGAATGTCAGATCCCACAGCTGGGGTGCAAAGAGGAGAAGGCCCAGAAGCCCTGATCTCTTCAGGGGTCAAAGACTGGATACAGGGATAGGGGACACATTCACAGTGGATTCACAAATGCAAGAGAGGCATTTAACAAAAAATGTTAATGTCGCTAATTATTGACATGCAAGAAGCACAGTAAAATATGATTTTCTCTTGTAACAATGACTAGTTAATTTATTCCTTTCATCATTATGATTTTCTTAGTATGGATTTTTTGCCTGCATGTATGTATGTATATGATGTTGAGTGCCTGGTGGCTCTGTAGTGATAGAGAGGGTGACAGGTTGCCTTTAACTGGAGTTATGGAAGGCTGAGAGTCATCATGTGGGTTCTGGAAATTGAACCAGGGTCCTCTGGAGGAGCAGCCAGTGCTCTTCACTGCTGAACTGTCCCTTCATCACCATGACTTTTTAAGATGAATTTTATTTTATGTGCTTGTATGGGACTTGAGTCTTCTGCAAGAGCAGCAGGTGCTCATAACCACAGAGCCCCTCTCTGCAGCTCCTGGTCCTGCAATGACTATTGTCAGAAAGATGGAAGATAACTGTCATCAGTGATGTGGAGTAAAGGAATCCTTGCACAGCAAGGGTGAGTGTATGACTGAGATTGGACATCTTAGAAAACCTAGAGGCACCTTAACAACTGAGAAACACTACTATGTTTGTTCAAGTGAAATGGAGTTATTATGCCAGAGAGACACCTGCATGTCCATGGCCATTGCTGCCTTTTTAAAAAAGTCAAAATATGAAATCATGGATAGCTGAGAAACAAAGAATATGTAGTACCCACACAGTGGACTGATATGGAGTCTGAAAAGTACAGACATATAGTCATTTGTGAATGGCATTACCTAATGTAAAACGATCCAGCACAGAAGAGCAAATCCTGCATAAATTCCCTTATATAAGGACTCTAAAGAAACTGCTATGGTGGTAGTAGAAGTTAGGGGAGCAGGCAGCAGGAGGGGGCTTACATGTTGAGCGGTTTAAAATGTTGTCATGTAAGAGGAGCATTGCAGAACAGGGTATCTACAGCAAACAACAGTGTGTTCTACTTTGAAAGCTACCAAAAGTAGACGTCATATTTTGTGTTACCAAGGGTTGAGCCAAAATCATGCTGGGCTCTGCTTTTTACTCTATCTCCAGCCGTCTGATTGCTTTTTATTTAGAGAACAAGTTTTGCTGAGTTTGCCGGCCTTGAATTCTCTCTGCATTCCAAGATTGGCTTTGTACTTGTAAACTTTCTGCCTCAGCCTCCTGGGAACTGGATTATAGGATGAACCATCAGACCTAGCTCAAAAAACATGTGTTTAGTGTTATCAACACAAGAATATCAGCTTCATAGTTTTTTGTATAATGTTATTCACATGTCAATTGACTTAATGTAACTTATGTACGTATTTCATAATGTGTACATATTTCACATGTGTATTCTGCACTCTGAATACATTGCATTTATGTTAGAAAAAAAGAAAGGAAGAATGGAAAGAAGACAGACAGACAAGCATAGATGGATCAATAATTCACAACATAGGCTGCTCTTCTAGAAGACCTGGATTCCATTCCTAGCACCCTCATGGCATCTCACAGCCATTGGTCACTCCACTCAGATATGCTAATGTCATCTTTTGGCTGCCAAAGACGCCAGGGACACATGTGGTTCACACACACACACAGGAAAAAAAAAACACATTTCAAAATGCTTTGAAAAAATTAAAAAAATTCATCTATAATACACACAAGTAGCACACTTAAAATTTTTAAAGAGATAAAAATCTTCAGGGCATAAAAGTGTCCTGAGTGGCCGGGCATTGGTGGCGCACGCCTTTAATCCCAGCACTCGGGAGGCAGAGGCAGGCGGATCTCTGTGAGTTCGAGACCAGCCTGGACTACCAAGCAAGTTCCAGGACAGCCTCCAAAGCCACAGACAAACCCTGTCTCGAAAAACCAAAAAAAAAAAAAAAAAAAAAAAAAAAAACCAAAAACCAAAAAACAACAAAAAAGTGTCCTGAGCATCCAAACTGAGATGGCGACACAGCCCAAGTGACACTCAGGAGCTCAGGTTCGCAGAATCAAATGAGTTCAGTGGGGTTTACCCCACAACAGTGGGCAGGCATGGAGAGTTGCTTTTACTTGATATTGGCCAAGGCACTGACCATCTTACCCTCCCACATGTCTACAGCTCTTCTTGTATAAGGCTGGTCTTTGCTGTCATCTGCATGTGAGTGCCCCCTAGTGTCAGAACAGCAAAGTCAGCTGCAGTTCAAAGCAACCTCCCACAGAAAAGTAGTCTGAGAAAACTGATTTGGTGGCGGTGGTTATGTTTTCTGTTTACATTGGGGCTCTTTCTTATTGATTGGCATTAATTCTGGTGAGCAGAGGGTTTCACTATGTCACTGTCACCCACAAGATGTCCCATGACCCTGGGGATCCCTCTTTACTCTCTTCTCCCCCTCCCACCACTGCTCTTCTCCCCACACAGTCTCCGTTGTACTTTGATGCCTTTAGAAGCTTTGTTCTGCATGGGAGAGTAGACACACAATGTTTGTCTTTCTGCCGCACTTCACTTATGCGATCCTGGGTTCCATCCATCTTCCTGCACTGGTGCATTTATGGCTGAATAAACCCTGAGGACAGAGTGAGGCTGCAGTAAGCTGTTTGTGCATATAGGCCACGTGCTCCTCATGCACTCACCTGCTGATAGGTCTCTTTGCTTCAGTAACTCGGATGTAGTGAAGCGTGTGTGTGTGTGTGTGTGTGTGTGTGTGTGTTTGTGTGTGTGTGAACTTCAGGATGACTTAGATTCTTTAGGTCATATGCCCAAGAGGGCAACTTCTGTGATTTTTATTTTATTAACTGTACTAGGATATTTTTGTATATTCTTGGATAATTTAATATGTGTAACAATGCATCCAGATTACATACACCTCTTTCCCCCTTCTCCATTCCTAGGCCTTTCTTGCCTTTATTTTTTCTCCATTATTAATTAATTAGCTAATTAATTAATTGTGACCTACCAAGTCCAGTGAATGTGGCCTGTTGGACAGAGTGGCCTTGGTAGATTGATCTCCGGCATGTACTGATAGTACAAGGAATGAAAAATATAAAACAAAACAAAGCCCGACATTATGTGGATCGCTATCAGGAAGGCTAACCTGGAGATTGTATTTGTTCCCAGAACCAGAGGTCAGAAAGGAGGTGAGAAGTTATTTGGAGAAATAATGTCTGTAAATTCCCCAATGTGGGTGGAAGATGTAGATCCACGGACAATCACAGAGTCATCTGGTCAAGTCGAGTGTCCAGTGAACATTCTCCAGGGCAGGCAGCATGCCAAGCCAGGACCTTTGAGAGACTCCAAGTATGTAAACTAACTGATTGTCATGTGGGAAGGAACTAGGAAGCTGCTCAGAAGGAAAGTCAGAAGCACAGAGGGGCCCAGGACAGGAACAAAGTGCTCCTAAACAATGACACAATTAAGACTTCACATGATTAGAAAAGACTGTCCTGAGAAAATGAAGAGAGAAAATCTAGACACCAGAACATTCTCCAGCAGTGAGAGTTAGAATGGGAAAGACCTACATTAAAGGACAAAAGGGGCTGTGGTGTGTCTCCTGGAGAACGCTTACCTGACAAACACAAAGGCCTGAGTGTCATCCCAACCACCGTGGGGAATGGAGACCATGGGACATGCTCACACTCAGAGAATCAAGCCAGTCCCAGAAATCCAATCTCAGATACTTCCTGTCAGTTGTGATTCCCAGAGTTTATAGATTATACATCCATAAAACCATGTGTGTGTGTGTAAGACATGAAAGAAGTGGTGAGGTTGATGGGATGGGGACATCAAAGAAAGGTCAGACTGGAGAACATACTTCCTGTGCAGCACATATTTATGTTAAATATCCTTCTGTAGAGGTTGGAGAGCTGGCTCAGTGCTTAAAAAAAGTTGTAGCCCTTGACTTGGGCCAGATTCCCATCACTTATATGGTGGTTCACAACCACCAGTAACTCCAGTCTTGAGGGATTCAACACCCTCTTCTGACTTCCATGACTGCCAGGCATACCTGTGGTGCACATACATACATGGAGGCAAAACACTCACACACATAAAGTATTAAAGCAAGTAAGAGTACACAATTGTATGTGTCCCTTATATAACAGTGTCATGAATGATGAATATACACAAAGAAGTTTGTTAGTTCAAAACTATTAGAAGAGGATCAAATAAAATCATGGCAACGAATTTGAAAATTTAGCAAGCTCAGTAGTTATTGTATTGTGTGCAGAATTGACCCAACAGTCCCTAAACAAAACATCATTCTGACCTTCACGCTTAATCACACAGAGCAGCTCAGGCAGTTGTGCTGTGTTTTGTAAAGCATTGCTGGCTCTCACTGGTTAGGTCTACCGTAATATCTCTGTCTGTTTTACAGGAAGCAATGTCATCAGGGAAACAGAACCAGTGCTTGCAAAATGAGCATCAGCCTTGATCAGGAGACGGACTATGCAGAACTGGTTCTCTCTGTAGGAGAAATCACACTTGGAGAAATGAGTAGGAAGTTAATGAAAGATACTCAACTAAGAAAGAGCCAGGCTCTAATTATCTCACAGGCTGTGTGTACTCTACTGAATTCTGGAGGGGGCGTGGTCAAGGCTCACATTAAGAATTCCAATTACACCTTCACCAGAGATGGAATAGGACTGGAAAGTTCTTTCTGTGACATTCTTCCACTTCTTCCAAAATACCTAGACTATATGCAGATCAAAGACTACTTTTTAATTTTTGTGAAACCATGGATCCCAGATATCTCTGGTCAGCGTGTCCACACCTTGAAAACCAACCTCTACACAAGAAGTGTTTCATCATCACATGAGCTGAAAGGTCCTGAAGCAGTCAAGTTCCTGAAAGGAATGAAGTATTCTAAAGGGAGATCATGTTCAAGACAAAGTTTGCCTGGATTATGTGACTCTGATGAATTACAACCAGAAAGTCCTGTCATGTTTTTTAACATGGAAAAGTTCACCTACAAGGAGACATTCTGTTTCACTAAATCCAAGCATGCTGAAGTTAAAATGTCCCCTAAAAAAAAGATTTTAGAGATCCTCCCTCAAACTGTTTCTGCTTTTGCAAACACTGACGGGGGATATTTGTTCATTGGTTTAGATGGGAAAAAACAACAAATAATTGGTTTTGGAGCAGATGAGAGCGATCTTGTACAGCTAGAGAGCGAAATAGAGGAGTGCATCCGACAGCTGCCTGTCACTCACTTCTGTGAGGAGCAGGAGAAGATCAAGTACACATGCAGATTCATCCAAGTCCACAGACAGGGAGCTGTGTGTTCTTACGTCTGTGCGCTCAGAGTGGAGAGATTCTGCTGTGCTGTGTTCGCTGCAGAGCCTAATTCCTGGCACGTGGAAGGCAGCCTCGTGAAGAGGTTTACTATGGAGGAATGGGTCAGGCTCCAGATGGACACCACACCAGGTTGGTGAAGGGGGATGACAGTCACTTTATTGTTGGGACAGGGGTTTTGAAGATACGTTAGACTGCAGAACATCAAAACTCCTCTTGTCTGAACAGCTAATTTACTGACCTCTGCTAGATACAACCCAGAGTCGACAACCTCCCGTTTCCTTCTGCCCACTTAGGAGATTTCCGACTGTAGCTGCTTTCAGAAATGCTATGAGCTATTTCCTTCACAATGGCCAACTGTGATACAGCCTGCATCTCCAGTGGCCAGGCCTGAAGCAGGAAGAGGAAGGAGCCCAAATTTTAATTCCCCTCCAGGGTGTTCTCATTTCAGACAGGGGTTTATACTGAGATCCCTGCCAAGACACAGGCCATGGGCAAATTGCAGCTCAGGTTTTGCCACAGAACATTGAAAGTGGTCCACAGTCCTGGCTTCCCTGACAGTTCCCTTTCCATCAGAAGGCTGATCAGCAGAGCCTGTCATGGACACTGTCCTATCTTCTTCCTGAACTTTTGCTCATCCACCCAGAGTTGCCTATTAGTTCTCCTTGCCTCTTTCCAGAATATGTCTAGCTTGTTTGCAAACAATGGCTGCTGTAGCCTATTCCCCAGCACTCAGTGCATTGACCTCATTTCTCATTGTCAACTTTTGTGTCAATCATCTTTTACTAGCAGTGATAAATGCTTTAGAAAATCAAGTTATGAAAAGGGAATGTTCATTTGTATGGCCATTTGTCTGTGTTAGCCCACCATATATTCTCTCCATTGTTGAGGTAGTCTCTGCATTTATTTCAAAACCTCACCAGCTAATCTTCCCCGTTGTCCTTTCCTCTTTATTACCATCTGCCCCTCTGCTTAAAACTCCCTCCTTCCTCTCACATTTGTGTACAAAACAGAACCATACACTTTCCTCCAAAGAGAAGAGAATGCTGACCTTTTATCTCCTTTGGAACAGGAAGTCTTAGTGGAAAGAAGCACCAGAAACTATATCATCTGGAAATCAGAGCTTCCTCTTGTCTGCACAAACTCACTTCTTCACCATCCTTCTTTCCTTCCTTCTGGAGTTAACTGATTTTAACTCCAGAACACACTGGGGACATTTCTGAGGTGATAAAGTGCTTGCCTCACGTATAGAAAGCCCTGGCTTTAATTGCCTCCATTTTATAAAATCATAAAACTGGCATGGTGGTGCACTGTGGCCCAAGGTCCACATGGTGGGTTTGTGTCCAACATGGTCTATGTGAATGCCAGCCTCAATTATAAAACACAGGAAGAAAAACAGACCCATGTGATTGTTGATGTACTCCACTACTCTAGTGGACCTTTTGCTCTTATGTTTCTGTAAGTGTAGTTGGAGCACTTCACTATCACCAAACCTTCATTTTGCAAATTGTATTTGACCTCAAAATCTAAACTCAATATCTAATTTCATTTCCTCTCAGGAAAACACAGTTCACCTGAGATATTTAACACAAGTTTCCCTAGTTACTGAACAGTATGACTTGTGGAAAATTAAAAATTACCTTTGTCTTCTCAGGATTTTCCAAGGAAAAAGAGAAACGGACCCTTCAATTAAACATCCCATCACTCAGTCCCTGTAGCTGGTTTCCTCATGATGTTCCAGAAGCTCAGCAGCAGAGAGCTCACCTTTCAGGTAGTGTCACTGTGGCTTCGTAAGTTGGTTGCTGGGACTATGTTCAAGCCTCCTTGCCCCATCAGGATCCATGTTGAAATCTGTCTCCAGGCTTCTTGCAGTGTGAGTGATACTTGTTTCAGGTGCCTAGAGTAACTGTGTCTCAAACAATAACTACCCCACACCACCCTGCCCATGCCAAGCACACACACAGAATAGCACCTGACTTCATGTCATGTTCTGACACAGGAGAACTGTAGACACGATGTACTTCCTCCCCAATGCTAACCAGCCAGGTAGAAGGTGACAGTGTCCATTCAAATTCCTGAACTGGATATGTGACTTTCAAGAATTATGGATTTGCCTGTGGCTGTGATTGCCAATCTGTGCCCACCAGGGAAGCCTGTGGTCCTCCTCTGAGGCATCCTCTCTCCATCCCTGGAGCTCCCGGACTGTGCCCTGCTCTCGCCTTTGCTCTGTGGGTTCTTCCTGTGTCTCCACGCTTTCCTCCTGTCTCATTACCTCTTTGATGCTTCCTGATGCCTGACATTTCTGTGTTCAGCATTAGGTCCATCCTTTGCTCTCCTGAGTCTTCTCATTCATGGAGTTGTCCAGAACAAGCTTCTGATGCACCATGTTATGGAAAAGGTAGGGGTGTGGGTGTTCTGCCACTTCCAAGGCTCCCTCTTGGCAGAGCCTGTGTTTCCAAGTCCCCCTTGCACCAGCCACCCTCCTATTCTTGATTTATTATTGTTTGGTATCCTGTGTGTTCACCTTCTGATGATGCAAGGTGAGGCACTTACTAGCTTCATGGTGATGACTCATACAGGACATTCCTGGAAGTTTTCTGTTTAATTTGCTATGTTTATTTATTTTTCTAGTGGTGTTTAGAAAGGTGACATGCTCTCCAGAAGCCCTCTGCATGGAACAGTTCTCAGAATTTGAGAGATATGAGCAGTTACTTTGGACAGAGCTGGGCTCACTTTGTCAAGGAAAGCTGGTCATCCCTAAGAACTGGACCTTGAGTCCTGGATTGCAGGAGAAGAAGGAAGTCATCTTGGATGTGCTTCATATTTCCCAGGACAGATTCCTAACTCTGCACAGCTTTCTCCTAGGAGATGGAGAGCTGAAAGACGACAGCACTGTTCTGAGGTTAAAGAAGTATTGTAATCAAACTGCACTAACTTTAAAGCAGGTGCTGATAAATTATGGTGGTTATACGGGGAAAATAGGTGTTGTGATAAAGATAATGTACTTGGGTCATAAGGCAGTATGTCTATATGATTCAAGCTCGATAATACGTTACCCCAGAAACTATCATCTGACAACCAAAACAGTAAAGGACTTGGAGAAGACTCTTGTTGATGTCTTAGGGACCGTGTTTGGACATAAAACTATAGTGATCAGTTTACCTCTGAAATTTTAAATTTACAGAATTAGATACCTTAATTTTCAAGGAATGTCCTAGATCATGTTTGAGACTTCTTCACCTGGGAAATGAACTGTGATGCAATTGTATTTCATGTTCTGTAGGCAATAATGTTCTCTCATTCCAAAAATATATGGAAAATGTATCTTTGCGTAACTTCACAGGAATAGAAACGAAATTCTGGGAAAGAGATTGCCCCTTAAAGAATGCAATGATAAAACTGGGCTTTAAAAATGTGTCCCTGATGTGGGGATGTGACCCATGCCTTTAGTTCATAACTTGGAGGAAAACTGGTCATCTCAGTCTACATAGAGAGTTCGTGACCAGCCAGGGCTGTGAAAAGAGACCATGCCTCAAAATAAATACAGAAGTAAATAATAAAAAAGCATAAACTTTTCCTAATCTGCATATCCATCCTTCTGGTGGAGGAAAAGCATGGTGCCTTGAATCATGGAAGACACTCTTCCAAATGAAGTTAGTGAAGAAAATGATAAAAAACGCTCTATAGGTAACATTTTGTCACAGCATTGCTGTTCATCTGCCTGTGTTATTGCTGTTACAGCTGTGCTTTGTATGTGACAAGCCCAGGTAGGCCTTTCCACTTGTCCAAATCACAGAGGCAAGGCCAGAGTATCCAGAAAGTAAATGCAGACTGCTCTCAGCAGCATACAGTAAATACGGGAGGTTTCCAAAAAGGTCAGTGACACATAGAAACCATATAATTGTTCATGCTATTTTGAAGAAAAACAATGTATCTGTGGCTGTAAGACTTCAAAGGGTCAACTTGCCAAGCCAGTACTCTCTCTATGGGGCTACAGTGTATGCTCCAGTTCCCATTTGTAACATTGTTCCCTTTTGGAGTCTTGCTAGTATGGTTTTAAGTGTTCGATATTGCTCATTTATGGTTCGATATGTGTATGTTTTATATTCGAATTTGAGTAATGTTTGAGCTGTAGATTAACACCTGTAACAGCATTGAGTTTATATGTGAATATTGGGCATCAATTTGAAATGTTGCTGTTGCCTTCATAAAGGAAACCATGTCTGCAGTTGGACATCTTCATTTGTTAAACATACAATTTCTCAACATTTGAACCCTAAGGGTGATGATATGTGTAGTAGTACCTGTTGTAACTTTGGATGGAGCTCATCAAAAGGCAAATTGACCATCCTGAGAATTCCTATGACAGGGGCTTTGGACTGGGGCTCGAATACACAAGTCATCCTAAGCCATGTTTTTATCTATTTTTTTGGCCAATACCATTAATTTTTAAAATCAACCTCATTTCTCATCTATTTTTCTTAGATGTGGATCTTTCTGAATACAGTTCTTTTCTCGCACCTTTCTTTGATGACATTTCGTTCTTCTATATGTGAAGTTATACTTAACCAAAATTTGGATGCCAACAAAATGCTCTGTCAGTTTTTCATGTTTCTAAAATAAATGGTCATTTCAAACCATCACCAAAGTCTTTTAAATAATTCTTATTGTTTTCCAGAACAATAGTTCTAGGTTTTAGATGTTTTTGTTACTTAAGATTGTGGTTTTCAGAATTGTGGCTCAGATCTTTGCAGACCAAGGAAGTAAGAGGTATTATCCTCAAGCTACGCCCCAGCCTCCTCCCCCCCGCCCATCTCATGGACCTCTTTCTACGTCCCTGGCCTCCACCCACACTTACTCCCACCTAAATGCACAGGCGTAACTATGAGGCTAAGGTCTGTATTTGAGAGACTGTGTGCTATTTGTCTTTCTGAGCCTGGGCTACCTCACATAGTATTTTCTGTTTCTAGCTGTTGGTTTCCACCACATCAGCAGCCTGCCTCCGCTGCCAAAGCAGTCATGTCATCACCTGTCTCCAGGTGCCTTCCCACCATCTGCTGTGGGACACGTGCACCCCGTACAAGTGCCCACCAGGGTACAGCTCGCTCTGTTGTCTCTTGTCTCTCTTGCCTCTTACTCCTCTCTTCCCCTGCTCTTCTCTTGCCTCTCTTCTTCCTTCTGTCTGTCTGTCTGCCTGTCTCAGGTCCCCACCCCAACACAGCCTTTCACTCTCCGCCTCCCCAGTAAAACTCTGGCGCTAACTCTGTTGCACCTGTTGTGTTTGCTTAGTGGCATAAATTCATAAATTCATTTTTGTTGTTGTTGCTGAAGAAAGTTCCAATGTGAATATGAACCAAATTTTCATCATTCATTTGTCTGCCGAGACTCAGTTTTAGACATTAAATGTGAAAAGTTAATTTTCTGTACTTGTTCTTTTTGTTTTAGAGAGAGAGAGCATAAAGGGGTGAGTCGGGAGTAGGGAGGATCTTGGAGGAACTGGGTAGGGGAAAACATCCAGATCTATTATATGAAAAATTTTCAATAACTTAAAAAAAGATTGCTGTCTTTAGGCATCAGCAGGGACACAGAAAGTGTAGAAGCTGCTTTGTTACAAGGACTCTATGCACAGAAGAAAACCTCCCCTCCCTTCCTCTTCTCCCCTTCCCCTTCCTCCTCCTTCTCCTCCCTCCCCTTCCTTGCCTGCACCTGGAGACCTTGACCCAGGATGTAAGAGGTGAGGGGCAGGGCAGAGAAGAGCAGAGACAGGCTACAGTAGAGGTTCAGAGAGAAGTGAGGAGAGACTGAAAGCAATAGGAGAGCAGAGGCTGGAGAGGGTGGGAGGGACCCTCAGGTTCCCCAGACATAGATGTCTCTCTGCCATCAACCTCAGACAAACAGTGGTCTTATATCACAGAACTTTGGATTCTAACTTATTTGTCACACTCCTGGACTCCCTGAAGCAAAGCTGCATGCTTCCTGCTGTCTCCTAGTGTTTTCCAGCACTTTCATGTTCCTGAGCTGCTCAGTCCTCAGTAGGAAATGGTGCCTCAGGCCTTGAACCTTCCTTGATCCAGCAAACCCAAACTTGTGTCCGGGTCTACAGGTCCACAGGTACACCTGCAGCACCCACTTTCCAACACGTCACAGTTTCAGCTTTTTGAGTTTTTAAACCTTTGAAGTATTAGCTTGCATCTCCTGCGTTGCTAATTATTTATTGGTGTTTCCACAATTATGTTGCAAACATATGTAGATTTACCCAAAATATTCTGATGCCTTTATTAGTTTCTCTAGTGAACCAAATGTGGTATGGCTATGTGTTAACATTTTCTACTGTGGTACAAGAATGTTCCATATAGCAATGCTGTCATATTTTGCTCATCTTTTGCTAGATTTATTTCTTTATTCTTATGTTATTTACTTAATGGTATATGGATACAGATTTGACTGGGTGTTGGTTACACATGCCTTTAATCTTACCACTAAGGAGGTAGAGGCCAGTGGATCTCTGTGAGTTTGAAGCCAGCCTGGTCTACAGAGCGAGTTCCAGGAAAGGCTCCAAAGCAATTCAGGGAAACTCTGTCTTAAAAAAATAAAATGCAAAAACAAACAAAGAAACAAAGGAATACAGATTTGACAGAAATCTGCAAAGCCTTTAAAGGACTGTGAATTGTCTTTTAGATTTTGGAGATCCTATTTTTTTCACCTCTCTTGTCATGTGTTATTATTTAACGTTGTATTTCTTTTTATTATTATCACTGTATGGGGACACACGTGCCGAGCACACCTGTAGATGTCAGAGGACAACTCCAAGGGCTTTCCTCCCCTGCCACCTCCTTTTTAGCAGGTTCTCTCTTGATTTTTGTTTCCTTGTTTTGAGAAAGACCTCTCTGTGTGTAGCCCTGAGCCTGGAACTCATGTAGACCAGGCTGGCCTCTAGCTCACGGTGATCTGCCCGCCTCTGCCCCCACCGTGATGGGATGAAAGCAGTTCCACCTCACCATGCTCTCTTGGGGTTTTGCTTGGTTTTGTTTTTTCCCCAGCTGTGTTAATTACTCCGGGTCAGCTGACTCTTGAGCTTCCAGAAGTTCTCTGGTCTCTTCCTCCCACCTCACAGGAGGGGGCTGAGATTGCAGGTGGGAACCACCACAGCTATGCTTTTGTGGGTTTCAGGGACCCAGCTCAGGTCATCAGGCTTGTGTGGCAAGAGCTTTTGTCTGCTGAGCTTTTTTACCTTGTGTTCAATGGGATGTTTTGTTATCATACAGAATAGAGGATTTCTTCATGGTATCTTCATATATAAGTTATTGTGTGGCGTTCTCATTTGTTCCCTTTCCCTCCTGTGCCCATCGGTGCCCCCTGTGGCACCACAGCTACTTCTCTTCCTTCCTCCTAGTCCCCTTCTGCACTCTTGTTTCAAGTACTCCCGCACTCTGTCATTTCTTCCTCCTTTCAGCTCGCCTCCTCTCCTCTCAGGATCCTTTATTCAGTTCTATGGCCTACTCAGACACACACACACACACACACACACACACACACACACATGCATGCATATACAAATATGTTTTGTAAGTCCAATTTCCACATGTTATAGAAAACTTGTATTTGTGTAAATTTGGCTTGTTTTGCTTAATATAGTAAATTACAATTGTATTCCTTTTCTATAAATATCATGATTTCATTCTTCTTTACATTTGCATAAAATTGTACTAGTTATATGTACATTTACTTTATCTGCTTATTTATGACAGACTTCAGGCTGGTTCCATCTCCCACCTTTTGTGAATAGTGAGACATGCTGGACCCAAACTTGTATCCCTGGATTGACACCATTTAGGTGTGGTGTCAATCTTAGTGTTCAGTTGTTATACACATTCAAAGTTTCTGTATTTCATTTTAATTTTGAGACAGACTCTCACTGTGTAGCTCTAACAAACCTGGAACTTGCTTTGTACACCAGGCTGGCCTCTACTCTAGATGTGTAATTTTAAAAAGGGAATCACAGGAGTCATGTGTGTTGATGCAGCTTCTTTCTGGGTTCTTGAAAGCTGGAGGCTACAGGTTGCATCGTGGAGGAAAGGGAGGGTGGGTCAAGCTTATGGACTCTTGTTTTTCCTGTGGTTTATGTTGTGACTGCATCTAGACCAGACTGCTCTGTCTTTGTGTACCACCACCATCTGCTGGTCACATGTATATTTGTACTCTGTAGCCTGGGCAGAGTCTCTCACCCTTCTGGGCTCTTCAAATCATATCCACTTAAGGTGGCAAATGCTTGTACGGGGGATGACTCTGGGTTGTTTGGGAGCATGGAAGAAACCCCAGTACTGTAATCAATGTAAGTAGAGTAGATTTCTTCACTCTGCTACAGAAACACAGAAGTGGGCATATCGAACAGCCTTGGAACATCAATGTTCTCCAGGTCTATAGCAGTACAGGATGGGCTGGTGGCTCTAGAATTTGACCCAGAGGCTTCAGACTCTGGACTATTAAATTCTAGTATAATATAAGCAGATATGATTTCTTCCTAGCCACCCAGGGCTGGGCTAGCTCTCTGTATTGACCTCCCAGCCCGAGCCCAGATTCTATCACTTGCATCTTTGGTTTGATAGTTCCTGGACTTCCTGTTCCCCATGACTGTCTCTCTGGGTGTTCCCTCACCCAGAAGCTATCACAGACAAAATGGAAACCTGTGAATGTTCCCTGATATTCAGCCCTCACAGTAGCTCAGCATTTATGACTCAATTGTCAAGGTAATACCTAGCCATTGCCCCCTTCCCTGTCACTCATCTGCTGGGGGACCTACTGTCTCCTCAAAGCCTGAAAATGGATGTAAGGCTGGTAAGGGCTGTCTGTAAGCAACCAAGCTTCCTTACTAGGCCACTGTCACCTGATGTGGGGGCAAGGAATTAAGGATGGAGACTTTGACAATTTTATTGAGATACATTCATCAGAAACAGAATATAGTGGCAAATGCCAGGGTTAAATATAATTGTAGTTACCAGGAGATATGGTATTGGCAAACTTTATAGGTAGACAAGATTAATGTCTAAGACCAGTTGTCCTGTCTTTCTTTCACACTTCCTTGACTACTAAGGGAACATACAGAGAAACACACAGCAGCCTGAATGCTTCACAGTCTGAGGGAGTGCCTTGGTCTCTCAGGAACTTGAAGGCACGTTGTTAAGCCAGGAGACTTGGACTCCAAGCTGAAAAACCTGTGATTCATTCTTCTTGAGGCAGCTAGGCCAGGTCAACTCCATGAATCCTTGCAATTCCCTCTTTTTATTATTATTTTTTTAATTTTAGGCTATGCAAGTCTATTTACCAAGCAAATTATTCTTTAGGCTATAATGCTTCCCAGTATAACCAACAAAAAATTCTCAGAGACATTCCTATGGACCATAGTTTAGAAGTCCAATTAGAGACAGAAAAATAATGACTAAAAATCTTTATGCAGCAGTGGAAGAGGGTAATTCATCCAACTTCGAATGCTGAATGGTTAACATTTTATCATGTAAGGCCTGAACATCAGCACTCAAATTATCATCTGACCAACTTTACCTGGAGAGCAATATGGTTAGCAGTGTGGGCAACCACAACCTGGGAGTCATGAGGGTAAGCAGGGATGTCATTGTCTTTGCAGTTAACAAAGGGAAGCACAGGAGGACCAGGCACATAAGGCCAAACAGGCTTCAGTAGCTGCAGATGCATTCAACAAAGACAGCTAAGCGAGAAGCATCAACTAGGCAAGCACACCTGAGACATCATCAATTCTTTCCCCTCAGTCACTAGATTCTTCATCGGAGTCATTGTGGGTAGGGAGACTCTGTTCTTCATGGCTCCACAACTCCGTCACCCTGTTCACTTTCTTTATTACAGAGTATCTTCTGTAGACACTTTGGAATGTCTTGTCTGTCTTCCACTGGGCTACTCAGTCTTTCAGGTACCCACACTGACTTTCCAACACCCTGAGGAAAAATCACAAGCAGAGCTTCGACTCCAGTGAATTGTAGAGCACATCCATTCAGTTGGTCAGGATCAACATCTCTGCAAAGGACCCTGACGCTGAATTATTTTGGAGGGACCCAAAAATGTTCTGCAACAGTGAGGCCATCCTTGTCCAACATTTTAAAATGTAACGTATGTATAACAGCATATAAAATATTGTAACAAGTATCCATGTTATCTTCCTCCCCTCCTTTCCTTTTAAATAACATTGAAGTTGTTCATTAGCTCTTCCTTTAAAAGATTGACCCCGAGGGTTATATGGGATGCCTGTGATGTAGGTTATGTCAGACTAGTACCAAAGGTGTGAAAAGGCTTGGCAACTCATGCAAGAGTGTGGTAGTTTAAATGCAATTGACCCCCATAAGTACATGGGGAGTGGCACTATTAGAAAGGATGGCTTTATTGGAGTAGGTATGGCCTTGTTGGAAAAATGTGTCACCATGGGGTGTAATGGTGGGGGTGTCACAGTGTGGGTGGGCTTTGAGGTCTCCTATGTTCAAGCTACTCTCAGTGTAGACTCAGTTCACTTCCTGTTGCCTGTGAATCAAGATGTAGCACTCCCAGCTCCTTCCCATCACCATGTCTGCCTGCACACTGCCGTGTCCCACCATGATGATGATGGACTAAACCTCTGAAACTGTTTCTCTATAACGAACAGTTTTTAATATTTTGTAAGAGCCTAAAACAGGAATATCTCTGAATCAAAAGGTAATAATATCCTTAACTACTTTTCCTGGTAGGGAAATAGCAACCAAGAGCAATGAATAAGTATCCACAATGATATGAACATACTTCAGTCTCCAAAGCTAGGGACATGATTAATATCCATGTGTCCCAGAGGAAGGGGTGACCCTATTTTTAAGATAGCTTTTTCTTTATTCAGGAGCCAAAGTCCACTGTCCTCAGTTGAGTTACTTCCTAATATGTTACCCTGTGTTGGGTTATCTGAAGCTTTTGTGGGTATACCCAGTGTCCTGTGGCTGCCAGAAAGTTTAAAATGTCATTAGAGTGTCTTAAGAGTCTAACTTTGTTGGCCCAGAAATGAATAGAATACATATGTATTGAGGTAAATGACTGTTTTTAGAGTCAAGGACTCTCAATATACGTGGACAAGGCTATTGTTGCAGATCGAGAACCAAAAACCCCTCAGCATAATCAAAGTTTGAATTGCGAGTCTGCATTAAATTTGAAGAGAAACACCTCTCACAGAGCAGCCTCAAATGCATAGTACAGGGAGTTTTTAAAGACAAAAAACACAGAAAAACTACATCCTGGTTGGGAAATGAAGAAGCATTTTAACAGGAGCCAAGAACATGCAATTAGCTGGGGGATTTACACCCTGAGCATCTAGAACAGGTTGAGGGCTTTCCCACAGGACTTTTCAGGGCAGGGGGTAGAAAAGAGGCGTCAGTCTTAGTTTAAACCAAGTTGGCTTCGACTGAGACAAGATGGAGAAACCTTTGAGCTGTTACAACATTACAAGGATTCAGGGACCTGTTTGGGAGGCACTGGCAAAACAGCTGTTCTCAAAGTGTCAGAAATAATCCATTTAAAGGTAAACATGAATTATGGCTTAGGATATGGTGAGGTGCAAAAGGAAGCATCCACTAAGTCGAGGACAGTGCCCCCCCCCCACAGATTCATTGGGAATATCTGAGAACAGAAGAGGTATGCGGGGGAGTGTTGCGTATAGGTGAATGGTCTCTTCCTTAGTTGCCCTTAGATCCTGAGGCAATCAATACTCTACAGCAGCTTGGAATACTGGATGTACTGAGCTGTTACACGAGATGCTAGGAGGCCAAAAGGCCATATCTGAGAAACTTGGAAATAAGAAGCTCACATCTCTGGCTTGCCTCAGGATTGAGAAGATGCATACATGTCTGCTGCACTCAGAAGCCAGAAGAGGGCATTGGATCCTATGGAACTAGATGGTTGTAAGCTGCCCCATGGGTGTTGGGACTCAGGCCTGGGTCCTCTAGTAACACAGCCAGTGCTTCTAATCTCTGAGCCATTTTCTCCAGCCCCATTAAATGAATAAACACCACGTAGAACATTAATTGTCTGTCCTGGAGTCTCTACATGCCGAAATCGAGGGTCTTCTTAAGGTAATATTTCTTTTTTTTAAAGATTTATTTCTTCATTATGTATAGTGTTCTGCCTGCACATATTTTGCAGGCCAGAAGAGGGTACCAGATTTCATCATGGATGGCTGTGAGCCACCATGAGGTTGCCGGGAATTGAACTCAGGAGAGCAACATTGGAGGTGTCCTTTACACCATTGCATACAGCACTTGTGAAAGAAGACACATGTTCTTGGACCAGTTGAAGGGTTGCACTCAAGGAGGCTAAAAGGCATCTAACAAAATGGTAGGACATTCAGGAAGACCTAAAACATGAGAGAAATTAAACCTCCAGCCTTCCTGGACATAGTTCAGTGAATCCTAGGTGCTAATCAACACCAGTTGTCCTAATTTCAGCAGGGAGCTGTCCTGGGTTAACTAGGGCAGAGGAGAAAGTCTGTATTCAAGAGGAGAAGTGATGCTTTCACTTGCCACTTCCAGCCTCCAGTTGCTAAAGTGACCTATGGGAGAAATTGTGATGCTGGGGCCTCCATGAGACCCAATCCTCAAGTCCTATTCTAGAGCCATAGTAGCAAACACAGTATGCTTCTCGCACAAAACCCACGTGTAAACCAGTGGAATAAAAGAGAGAACCCAGAAATAACCCACAGTTACAGCCACCTAAGTTTCGACAAAGTCATGAAACTACATATTGGTACATTCAAGAACACAACCTCTTGACCCACTATGCTACTTCCTATTTGTGCTTGGCTGCTGGCCACTGAGTTTCACACTTCGGCAAGTGACTTTCTAGATAAAATCAGCTACCACATCCTATTTTAGGTCTCAGTGGTTTAAGAGTTGCATGGCTAGTGGGCGGTGGTGGTGCATGCCTTTAATCCCAGCACCTGGCAGACACAGACAGGTGGATCTCTGTGAGTTCAAAGCCAGTCTGGTCTATAGAGCTAGTTTCAGGACAGGCTCCAAGGCTACAGAGAAACCCTGTCTCAAAAAATTAAGTAAGTAGATTAATTAATTAAAATGAAAATAAAAAGAGCTGTATGGTCAGCAGCAGCCCTTCTGAGTAGGGTGAGATGGAATCTCAAAGCAGTTTGAATTCTCATTTCCCTAATAATTAAGCATCGTCAGTCTCAAAGTCTGCATTGGTCACTTGTGTTTCTGAGAAGGACTACCCTTTAACCTCCACATAATTCCTCCTGCAGAATAGGTGTCACTCATGGGATTCTAAGTGTCACTCTGGTACCAAGCTCCATCTGCCTTTTAATGTTTCATGTGCTGGTGCCAAATCCCTTGCTGAATTATTTTGTCAGGAAAGAACATCGTTATTTCGTATCCACTGGGTGGAGAGAGGGGGGAAGGAGGGAGGGAAGGAGGAAGGGAGAGAGAGAGAGAGAGAGAGAGAGAGAGAGGACTGATTAGTGATTTTAGGTTGACAGTCTTTTTTCTTTCAACAGTGTAGATCCATGGTCCTTGATTATACAAACAATCTGGAAAAATAAGCATTTTAAAGAAAAGCTTGAACATGGTGGTATGAAGATATACGGAAATGGAAAGTTTGGAACCATGGAAAAACAGGTTATGAACTAGAATGCATAGCATGATGCCACTAACTGTGTGTACCTGTGCAGTAAGTATACACGCATTAGGAACACACAACCTATATAGACCTGCAAGGATGGAGGGCTAATAATGGTTAGATTTCACTTCTAAGGCCAGGGGGTGATAAATGCTCCACCTCACTTTCCTTCTACACCAGCGTGAATATATGCTCCTGCCAGAGGCTTCCCGAGGCAGAGAACTCCTTCAGGCAGAAGCAGCCGATCAAGGCTGCAACCCACTGGGCCAGCCCTGCAGTGGGCAGTTCCGCCCAGCCCACGGTGCAGGACAGGGGCCTGGTGGAAGAGAAAAGGTCAGCTAGACAGTTCAACCCATCCCCAAACCCGCAGTGGGCTCAAGCTGTCAGCGCGCCTACTGGTTAGAAAAACTCAAGTTTCGATTTCCCCACAATCAAGGAATCCGGAGGAGTTAAAAGGGCTGACTCAAGCAGTTTCCTGCGACCATTGGGAAACCCACACTGTAGCCAGGCTTCCTGCTCTAGGCCTACGACTGGAACACCACCCGATCCAGACCTGCAGGATTTGTACCAGACGCTGAGAGTTCCGGAAGGAAAAGATTCGTGGCTGTTTGCAAGGTCTGCTTTTCAAGGCAGCCAGGGGAAGCAGAGCGAGTGAACTGAGTTCTTTCTGGCAGCTTGGAAGGGATGAGAGCCCGGTGCGACCTTCCGGGGGACCAGGGTGGGATGGGAGGCGGGAGGCACAGGGGACGGCCTGGGAAGAGCTTTTCTCCTCTTGAATGAGTTTTATCCTGTCTCGTGTAATTCATCTAGGCATATGAATAGATCGATTGGTAGATGCAGACCGATGGGCAGAGGATGGAGAGCACTGGGAGACAGGACGAGAAGGGGTGAGTAAGAAGGGCGGCAGAGACTAAAAGAGGAACTGAAAAACCCCGGGAACAATCAGAAGCTCAATGAATCTGAAGTTTGGGATTGCCAAAGTTTAGTTTATCAAACACATTCTGAGTTTCAAGTTTCCCGGTGTTTAGCAGACTTCCTACTGGTCTCTTGGTTCCCGCGGCTTTGGCAGTGAGCAGAGCAACCATTGGAAAGGAAAAGCGGGACCTCAGTGCAAGCCAGGCAAATGCACTGGACCTGGAATCAGACCAGGCTCAGGGTGCTTAGAGCCCCGCAGCTCCGCAACGCCACCACAGAGGTCTAGCCCGCCAAATCCGGGACCTGGAGGCAAGAGCACTCCAGAAGCCAAGGTGAAACGTGTGTGTCTCTCCTGCCTAAAGGTCCGGGTATTTTATGAGGCTCAGAGGCAAGTTCCTTCAAAAGGGTGAGTGAGAGGGGTTGATCCTGGTGGGTGCTACCCTGACCAGGCCAGCACGGAGGGTGGGGGTGGGGTAGGGGGATGGGGAGCAGAGGCGTAAGGTGGGGGGAGGGGAAGAACCACACACCCATACCCACTCACACAATCACGCATGCTCGTACAAACGGATGTACCAGAGGGCACAAGTGCCACACTCCGCAGCAGGTTTCTGTGTTGGCAGAGCCTGTGTCACAGTTAGCAGGTGCAAGTTAGTGCAAGTGCCTCAGGCCCCCAGTTGCAGTTTTTGAAATTACAATGTTGAAAGAGATTCTTCAGATGAGGCTGAGCAACCCTGTAAGATACTGTCCTTAACTGAGGCGCTAAGGGGCAGAAATAGAAGTGTTAACGATCTAACCCAGAGTTTGTCATCTAGAAGCCAAGGACCCTGTGATTGCAGTTTCCCAAATGTCACTTGTTCTATGGCTCTTTTTCTTTCTGTTCTGGTTCTAACCCAAGATAGCTAGTTCCTAGTTTGTTTTGCGAAGAGTATTGATCCAGCCCATCTAGAGTTTAGTGTGCCTCACCCTTATTGTCCACTCACATCCATCGAGGGCCTAATAGTTTCTACGGTGGTGTGAGGGAGACAGAGATCACCTTTCTTCAGTTCTCATGGAATGGTGCTATTTCTAAATGGGAGGAGGCATTCTGCCTATCAAACTTTAGTATAGCTTTAGTATGTGTCATAGGGCATTTTTAAGATTTTACTTCCTAAAAGCTCTGTTATATGGAGCTGGAGAGATGGCTCAGCAGTTAATAACACTTCTTGTTTCTGCAGTAGACCCAGGTTCAATTCCCAGCACCTACATGGCAGTGAACAACTGTCCATAACTCTGGTCCCAGGGATCCGATGCTCTTTTCTGACCAACAACAGACACTAGGCAGGTGGTGCACAGACATACGTACAAGCAAAACGTTCATATGCACTGAGCCATCTTTTCAACCCCTTGTCTTTAAATTTTTTATGTAAATACTGTCATAATGTACATGCCCTGCTATAGAATTGCTTTCAAGTCATTATTACATTTTGTAAATTTATGTGTTTTGGATGCACGAAGATATGCTTTAACAGTGTTCAATGTCGACTTGATGGGATATGGAATTGCCTAGAAGAAAGGCCTCCAGACACACACCTGAGGGATTATGTAATCTGTAGGTGTTGCTGTAACGATAAACGGCATACTTGTTGAGGGTATAGGTAACTGTTTATTGTAGAAATTACTCACAAGAGAAAACGGGAAACCCAGATGAGTCAAGTAGTTTTCCTGCTACCGAACCAGAAGCCCAAAAGAGGGCAGAGGCTCTGCTGCTTGGTCTTTTATTCCTTCCTCTGTACACGCCTCTAGCCACGCCCAAAAGTGGGCCTGGCTAGTGATGTAGTTCACCACCCTGTCATGCCCAAAGTGGGTGTGGTTTGCTGCACGGTTCCACCCTTTCGTTATGCATCCATATGCATCTCTAGAGCGTCACATGGCTAATGGCGGAGTCCTAAGTTTCCCCCTACAATTCCCTTTTTAGTCTAAAAAAGATATTTAAACTTAAAACAAAACTAACTTGTGTCAAGAACAAAATGTCTCAAACATCTATCCCATCTAAACCTAAGCTTATCTGAAAGAAATACCCAAGTCTGAACACCTCCTTCCAATCCCAACTCTAAAATAATTGAAAACTAACACTAACAGGTGTAAACTATCCTATAATATCAATAGTAGGGAGAGGGGGCGTGGAATTCTCAAAACTACTTCCTGCTGAGATGGGACGATGACAGTCTCATAGGAACCTGTGAGAAGAAAAATGTTAGTGTAATAAAATCTTAAGTAGATTAGACAGTCTCTGTTTGGCAGGATGCTTGATTGAAGTTCCTGACTGGAGTTCTAGTGTTGATTGAAGCTCTCGCCTGAAGCTCTGGCCAGATTGTAGAAGGTGCACTGTATCAGTTCCTTGGTCTGGAGATGTGTCGAGTGATGTAGTTCCAAGCCAGTTTCAGGATGGTGCTAGTCAGGTGGAGTCAATGACATGGGGCAGTTCAGATGCATCCAGTTGAATCAGGTGGAGTCGATGAAGTGGGGCCCCATTCTCTTTTCGAAGCAGTTGAAGATTGCTGTCAGGAAATCCCTTGTTCTCTGGAAAACTCAAACATTAATGTTAACAAAGAAATTTTTTAACTTTTATATGTATGCATACTGGAAAAGGTGACAATAGGGAAGATGGTAAACATGAAGGAGATTAGACTTTTCAGAAAAAGAATCCACAGATAACAGTCACTAATTTTATTTTCTTCTGTCTTATATCAATGGCTCTTTGATATAATACAGAAATTCTGAATTTTATTTAAACAATACGCTTGAATTTAGAGTAGGAGAGCCAATCCAACTCCAAAGCAAGCTTCAGTTAAATGAATGGGGACTAAAGCATATTAAGAAACAAAGAGAAATGGGAATTATAAAAAAACAATGTAGAGAGATTTAGACTTTGATACCACACAGTGAGTTATTGTTTGTTTGATGGTCCTCAGGGTAGCTATTCATTCTTCTTCAGGTATCCATACATCCAGTATTTTTTCGTTGAGGTTTCCTGTGAAGACAAAAAACAAAACACTTCTCTTTCCTTTAACCTATTTCTATTAATCAACATGTTGCCTTGCTGCTTGTGGCTTTTACCACTCCTCCTGCATGCCCTGCTTCCTCTGTATCTGGCTGGCAACTCTGCCTTTCTTCTTCCCAGAGTCCTCTCTGTCCCCAAAAGTAATACGTAACCTCTTCCTGCCTAGCTATTGGCCATCAGCTCGCCATTAGGCCAGTCCCAGGGGCACATCTTCACACAGTGCAGAGGGGTGTTTGCAACAGTATGTGAGAGAGCTGTAAGCCAAGCCACACCTGCTGGCACTCGTCCCGAAGACCTCGGGTTCTGCTCTTTTCCAAGTCACAGTTGTGTCATTTATTAAATCCTTTTGGGAGGGTGGAGTTTTTGAGACAGGATTTCTTTGTGTAGCCCTGGCTGTCCTGGAGCTCACTCTGTAGACCAGGCTGGGCTTGACTCAGAGAGCCTCCTGCCTCTGCCTCCCAAGTGCTGGGATTTAAGACATGCACCTCCACCTCCTTGCATTTCACAAAAAAATACAATAAGACTTTTCTATCTCAATTTACAGCATCTGTCAGCAGCTTGAAACTTGAAAAATCACAGCAGGTGCCCTTGTGCTCCATCCCCTGATACCGTATTCCTTTTGTTTTTCTCCTACCTCTGTGTTTTCATGGCCTTTTTGGCATCTCCTGTTAGTATATTCTCTATTTACCCCATAATCCACTGGGAATATGTTCCAAGATGTGAAATCTCATGCCATGGCATACCCTTGCATTAGTTGATCCCTCCTTCTCCTGTACCTCAATGCTGATGGCTTCACTCTAACAATTCCAGTGAATAGGTGACATTGTTTCCTCCTGGGAGCATTAGTAAACTACAGTTTAATAGCCAAATTGGTTCAGACACCTCTTTAATATATTTTTCCTCCCATAGCCTATATCACATGCCATGGTCAGCTCTACTTTCATTCCCCCTCAAAACAATTTCTAAGAGAAAGAACTATTTCTGTCTTTACTCGATATTTTATTGCTTTGACAGGATCTATTTCACTTAGACTAAATGTTTTCAGTAAGTAGATGAATGAATTGTGGGCATGAGAGAATTAACCTTAACAAAGGTAACTCAAGTGTTTGGATTGTTTGACTGTAGGACCAACATGGAGACAAATCCCTCCTCAGTGGTGTCACAGTCTCACCCAGACTTAGTCATCCATGTAAAAGAAGTGACTTTTGGGGAAGAAAACCGAAAGAAAATGGACTCGAAGAAGAGAAAACGGGAGAAGACAAGCATTGCAGTGGCTGCCTGTGCTCTGTTAAACTCCGGAGGTGGAGTGCTTGAGATACAAATGGCCAACAACAGTGATCGTCCTGTGGAGATGGGACTGGATTTGGAAGAGTCCTTGAGAGATCTTATCCAGTCTTCTGATCTTCAAGCTTTCTTCGAGACCCAGCAACGAGGGAACAAGTTTTACATTTTTGTTAAGTCTTGGAGCTGCAGCCCTGAAGACAGTCCTGCTAAGCCCCGCATTTGCAGCCAAAATTCTTCCTTGTGCCGTAGATCAGGAACATCTGTGGTTACCATTACTTCAACAGAGGCATTCACATTTCTAAAGGGTAAGAAGAGTACCAAGTGTAGTCTGTCTGATGAAGGAGCTATGCCTCAGAATAGCCTTGAATCAAATCCTGCTTTTGAAATTTTCCAAAGTAAGAAACTTGAATATGGTCAAACCTTGCTTTTCCCTGAATCTGAATCCATAGAGTTTAAACAATTCTCTACAAAAAACGCTCAAGACTATATAAAAAATACAATTCCAGAGTATGTCTGTGCGTTTGCAAACAGCTATGGAGGCTACCTTTTCATTGGGGTGGATGATAAAAGCAAGAAGGTCCTGGGATGCCCAAAAGACAATGTTGACCGAAGCTCTTTGGAAACAGTGGCAAATGAAGCAATATCCAAGCTACCAGTTTTCCATTTTTCTTCATGTAAAGAAGAGGTGTCTCATGAGACCAGAGTCATAGATGTGTTTCACAAGGGGAATTTGCATGGTTATCTCTGTGTGATCAAAGTGGAGCCTTTCTGCTGTGCAGTGTTCTCCAAACCTCCCACTTCATGGATGGTGGACAAGAAGAAAGGTATCTACAGCCTGACCACCAACCAATGGGTAGACATGATGGTGGATGCTGGTCCAGGTAAGAGTGAAGGTGTTTTCCTTCTTTGTCCTTTCTGCCTCTTTTGAGTTCCTCTGTATCCTTCACTCTGCAAATCTGAGTCCATTATACCTACTGAAGTTGGCTTTTTCTGTATCTTTATGCTTTCTTGGATACAAGAAATTTGTATGGCTGGAGAGATGGCTCAGAGATTAAGAGCACTGGCTGCTCTTCCAGAGATCCTGAGTTCAATTCCCAGCAACCACATGGTGACTCACGACCATCTGTAATGAGATCTGGTGCCCTCTTCTGGTGTGCAGGCATAATGCAGGCAGAACACTGTATACATAATAAATAAATAAATATTTTTTTTAAAAATTGAAAATAGATTTCTTTTGTGACACCTGGAGGTCAGGAGACCAACATGAGTCACTTCTGCTTCTACCAAGAGAGTGCCAGAGATAGAACTCAGGCTATCAGGCATGGAGGCAGGCACCTGTCTTAGAGTTTCTATTGTTGTAAGGAGACACCATGACTATGGCAGATCTTTTTTTTTTTAATTGGAGGAAAGTGTGAATGCAGTCCCTCAGTACCCAAATTATGTAGTCAAGCTTCCCGAATCTGGGGGAATCCCAGGGGCCAGCATATCCAGAGTGCAATGATAAGACTTGGATCACGGCAGCAGCTCTTATAAAGGAAAACATGTAATTGGGGTAGCTAGCTTACAGTCTCAAAGGTCCCGTCCATCAGCATCATGGTGGAACATGGCAGCGTGCAGACAAATGTGCTGGAGAAGTAGCTTAGAGTCCTACATCTTGCAGGCAACAGGAAGTGACTTGAGAAACTGGCAAGTATTTTGAGCATATATGAGACCCCAAAGCACACCTCCACAGTGACCCTCTTCCTCCAACAAGAACACACTTCCCAATAGTGCCACTCCCTTTTCTTCAAAACCACCACAGCACCTTCAGCCACTCAGCCATCTCACCAGTGCCATGAAAATGGATTTCATATTTACACACATATTATTTAAAATCCTCTCACTGTCATTTGCTGGAACCATGTAATAATGATCACCTGGTGCCAAAGTGTAGCATGTTTCCAACTCTTGAAGTCAGGAACCTGCACCAGATATGCTGTATTTTGGTTGAACCTAATTGCTCCCTTTGCTAAGTCTTCTTTGGCTAATCAGTCTTTTGTGCTTCTATGTGAATTTCAGGATTTTTTTTCTTAGTTCTGTGAAAAACATCATTGGAATTTGATAGGATTTGTATGGACTCATTAGACTGAGTTTAGTGACAGCCACTTTCATAGGAGGCTTTTTCTTCTGGTTTCTGCCTCAGTATTTAAAAGTTCTCATTGTAGAGGCCTCTTGCCTCCTTCATTAGGTATGTTCCCCGGGATTTTTTATGCAGTCATTAATGAGATGTTCCAGATCTGTTTCTCAGCAAGTTTGTTATTGGCATAGAAAAGCTGCTGGGTTTGTCTACTACTGCTACTTTGCTGAAAGTTATCAAATATAAGAGCTCACTGGTAGTCTTTAAGGTCTTTACATTTAGAATCAGATCATCTGCAAATGGGGACGATTGACTTCTTTCTGTTCAATTTGTTCAAGTGCCTTGAATAAGAGTGAGCCCTTGATTTCAGAGGCGGCAGCTCTTTTAGTTATTTCTCACCTAGTATATGTTAGGCTTAGGTTTGTCATATGCAGTTTTTATCATGTTGATGTGTATTCTTTGTCCCTGGTTTCTTCAGGATTTTATCATGGAAGTATGTAAAATTTCAACACATGCATTTTTTTTTGCATCTAATGAGATGATCTGTGATTTTTTTCCCTGATTCTAGTTATGTGACACATTGCATTGCATTTATTAATTTGCCTATATTAAGCCACCCTTGACTTTCTGAAATGAAACCAACTTGATCATGGCAGGAGATCTTTGCAGTGTTTGGTTAAGTTTGGTTTGCAGGTTCTTCATGAATTTATCATAGAAATTGAGTGACTTACTTTTTTGTTTTGTTTTTTATGATTGTGTTACCAAGAGAATATGTCTTTATGGGGTGAATTAATAGTATTTTTCTCCTTCCACCAAGGGGGTGCCAGAGACTGAACTCAGGCCATCAGGCATGGGGCCTCCAATTAGATTTGAAGCTTTTGAGCATCCTGACTTTGTCATGTGGATGGGACTTCGGTCTCTTCATCAGGGCTGCTTATATTGCTTATATTACCTTCTGGATCCAGCTTCAGCTTCTTCTTTATGGTTTCTGGTGTTCTTCCAGTGTTTCCTCTTTGGAATAGAGCCTGTGCTTTGTTATTCTGACGGGTTTCATTCCCTGTGTCACACAGAGGCAGCTTCCAGTCAGCCATCAGGTCTCCGTAACCTGTGTGAAGACTTTGAGTGTCAGCTGAGTCTCTCCAACAGCCCCCCATGCTGCAGACCAGTATATTCTAAGAAAGGACTGGAGCATAAAGCCGATCTCCAAAAGCATTTATTTCCAGGTATGAACAGCCAGTTTTTCCATTAAGAGAAAGAGACTATTTAATACCTTTGTTCTACACACCAAGTTTACGCAGTACCAGTACTGCAAACCTCTTGGGAATGAGGTGCAGGTATCCTTGAAGTCATCTAGCATGGTACTAGCAAAATCTGATAGCTAAATATGCAGAGGTCAAGGACACCACCAGGAATTTACAACAGCAGTCCCAGGTCTTGAGCATGCGCATGTGAGTCAGCCTCTCATGGTTCAGAACTCACTGAACCAGTACAGCCTTAGCCAAAGCCTTATACTGGGAGCACAATGATATAGTTGATCTTTTCAGTCAGTTTCTGAGGGACGGAGGAAAGAACTCAAGCAGGCATTCACATGGTGGAATAGGGGGGCACAGAGGAACCATGAGTAATTTGTCTTGAAATAAGGCCGCGAGAATGAGTCTGTAGGATCTGGGCTTGGTACGAAATAGTAATTTCAGATGATAGATAAAGTCAGCCTTTAGCTACATGTTGTCTAGGGATTCCTACTTAGAAAAGATCATGGTTTCTGAAGGATGGAAATAGCCTTTTTAACTTCACACTCTGAATATATGTAAGATCTGTTCATCAAATACGATAGAGAGGCATCCTATGGATATATAAACATGTATGAAGGCCCAGATAATTAATTAGGATGACCTAAGATCCATTTTCAAAGTTAATTTAGCTGAACTCTTTTTCACTTTTTAGCTTATCAGAAATGTTTTTAAACTTCCACATGGGAATCTGTTGTAAGAATAACCGCACAGATTTTGTTTGCACTTCCTTAAGCTCAATAGATTCCATTTTGGTTGGCAGAAACTTTTCTGTAAGATAATGGGGGAGCCACATCATTGTAAAAATTCTTACTTGGTCTAGATGATAATAAAAAGCTGGAGTCAGATATAGAGGGAAATTCTGAGAGATCAGAGAGAAGGAGCAAGCTACTTCCTAAACATCTCTGCAGAGAAGAGAGTGATTTCCTGTTTCTCCCTGCTTATATCCTGTTTCTGCCCAGATATATCATTTCCTGTCTGTCTGTACAGACCTCCAGACCTCTATGATTAGCTAGTGGCAAGCTCTATTCTCTGACAGGCTTTATTTGTGCAACAAAGATGTCACCACACATCATTCCATCACTTTGGTGAGATATGAGTAAAAGGGCATGTATACTGATGGGATCTCTCTTAAGTTGTACTACACATATGAGCTAGTTCCTTTTTTATTTAAAATGTTTTATAACTTTAATTTTAATAAAAAACAGATGTTTTGCATACAATATATTCTGATCAGTTTCCCTTCCTCCGCCTCCTCCCAGATCTTTGAAACCTCCACAACCATTCAAATCTGCAAACTTTTCCCCTCTTTCTCATTATAGGCAAATAGGCAACTAAAACAAACAAACCAGAATGGGACAAAACAAACATTAAAAAAAAGAACCAAACAAAAAGAGCAAGAAACACATACACAGCAGACACACACACACACACACACACACACACACACACACACACACCATAAGAACACAAAATTGGAAACTATAATAAATAAGCAAAGGTAAGAAATATACCCAGACAAAGCATATGAGGAAAAAACTCCAAAAATACCATTGAGTTTGTTTTGTGCTGGCCATCTACTTAATTTTTTGTTTTAAACATAATATGTGAGTCACACAGAACAATGCAAACACTTCTTTGAAATTTTGTCTATTCTTTCCACGTCCAGTGTCACCAGGATGTTTGACATATACTCCTGGATCCCTCTGGGGGGAGCTGGAGAAGAATAAGAAACTAAAGGACTTAATAAGCCAGCAAATGCACTCTGTCCACTGTGGTTTGCTGATCCTCTCTAGGAGCTGGGCTGTGGACCTGGACTTGGAGGAGAAGCAGGGAGTCATCTGTGATGCCCTGCTGATTGCAGAGCAGAGCTCCCCCATCCTCTACACCATCCTTGAGCAGCAGGATGAGGGGGGGCAGGACTACTGTACCCGCACCGCCTTTGCTCTCAAGCAGAAGCTAGTGAACACCGGTGGCTACACTGGGAGGGTGTGTGTCATGACCAAAGTTCTTTGCCTGAGTTCCAAGAGCAATGGAGACACCAGCGGGGAGTCAGCCCCTTCTATAGATTACCCACCCTCCTATAACCTTGCAAACACCCAGGAAATGGAAACCTTGCTGCAGGCCCTCGTGATTGTCTTGCTCAACTTCAGATCTTTCTTAAGTGACCAGCTTGGCTGTGAAGTTTTGAATCTTCTCACAGCCCAACAGTATGAGATATTCTCAAAAAATCTCCGCAAACACAAGAAACTGTTTGTGCACGGCTTGCCGGGGTCAGGGAAGACAATCATGGCCATGAAGATCATGGAAAAGATCAGAAACACATTCCATTGTGAAGCAAATAGAATTCTCTACATCTGTGAAAATCAGCGTTTGAGGGACTTGATCAGGTAAGTGTCTGGATCTTATGTCTGTGTATGTGTTATCAATCCTTTTGAATTTTTCTTAGTTACCCTGATTCTTGGGGATTAGACAGGACAATGACCTGTGACAGCAGTGCTGTGTTTCTGGGTGTGTGATGGGAAACACCTAATAACCTTTTCACTGTTACAGGGCAAAAAATATTTGCCAGGCAGTGACCCGGAAAGCTTTCATGAAAGGCGAGTTTGAAACAATCCAACACATCATTGTTGATGAAGCCCAAAATTTCTATGCTAAAGATGGTGACTGGTATAAGAAAGCAAGACTCATCACTCAGAAAAAGAAAACGCATCACGGAATTTTCTGGATCTTTCTGGACTATTTTCAGACCACCCACACTCATAAGAGTGGCCTTCCACGTTTTTCAAGCCAGTATCCAAAGGATGAGCTCACAAGAGTGGTACGCAATGCAGATAAAATAGCCGAGTTCTTACAAGAGGAGTTACAGATAATCAGAAATAAACCTTCACGAAAGATCTCTGCTGGGGCTCTGGAGATACTCAATGAACTTACCTGGGCTAGCGGCGTATCAGGCAGCTGTAAGCTCAGATACTTGAGCTTGAAAGAAATGGTGAGCTATGTAGCAGAAGAATGCAATAATTTCCTGAGGAATGGCTATTCTCCCCATGAGATCGCTGTGCTTTTCAGCACAGAAAAGGAAAAGGATACATATAAAGATAAGTTCCTGAGCGGAATGAGGAAGAGGAGAGTGTCTCAGGTGGATGATACATTTGTCTATTCTACTGACATGTTTGACAGCATCCGTCGATTCTCGGGCCTGGAAAGAAGCATCGTGTTTGGTATTGATCCCCATGCAGGTGAGCAGAGCATTTCCAGAAACCTATTGCTCTGCTTAGCTTCCAGAGCAAGGAAACATCTGTATATTCTGAGGTTTTCTGATGAGTCCACCCATCAGTGTAACTCAGTAGCTTGAATGGGATGCATGAGGTCCTAGGTTCATTCACTGGTGATAGGAAAGCAAAACCTAATTGAGGCCCTTCAGTGCAAGAGGAAAGATAAAAATGCAACAAAACTCTTGTCCTGTAGTTTCAGAAAATGCTAACAAAAAGATTACCCGTGGACACTGGAACTAACTGTGGATCTGATGCTGAAAGCAAAGTTGAAGAAGAATAACAAAACAATGTACACATGACACACGCTGTGAAAATACTGAAATCACAAGGATTGAAACTATAGACAAAAACAATACAATATAGTAAGCTATATCCTATTTTAAAAACAGACTTCCATTTTAAATTGGTAAATACATTTATGAAAATTAAATGTATTTACAAGGATAAAGGCTAAAAACATACCAGGCTCCAAAGAGAAAATATTGGCCCACCCAGTACCTAGCAGCACCAGCCATTAATGTAAGCAGAGGTTCAGTATGGTTTCTTATGGGAGAGAGACAGACAGACAGAATTGTAACACACACACACACACACACACACACACACACACACACACACACACACACACACATAAAGACCCAGAGACTCATATTGAGGTTCAAACTTCAAGCTGAAGATCAGAAAAGCAAAGCAGTCAGCCACGCTGAAAAGGCTGATCCACAGAGGAGCTCTTTACCAACTCTCAAACTGCTGCTCTCCTCAGTGTGGCTGGAGAATGAATGCCTCTCTGAAACCAAGCTTCTGTCTTACATACTTCCCTAATGTTGGGATTAAAGGTGTAAGCTATAATTCTCTTTTAGACTGATTCGCTCTTGTGTAGATCTGGGGTGCCTTGACTCACTCCATCTATCTCTTAATCCTAAATCCTAGGATTAAAATTGTGTACCACCCCCTAGTTTCTGGCTGCTGGGATTAAAGGTGTGTGCCTGCTTTTAGAGCTTGTGTCTGACTTTGCTTTTTTGAATCCTCAGTCAAACTTTAACAAATAATAAATAATATATCAGTACACAGAATGGTCAGGTCCTGTGGACAGAGGCATATCTGAAAAGATGGCATTGGATGAAAGAGAGCTGAGATGGTGAGGGAGCTGAACCCTTGACCAGCAGCAGCACACAGGAAAGCTTGCCCTGCACTTTGTCTGGGCAGCACAGCAGAGAGGACCCTGTTGATGACAGCATAGGTGAGCCAACCCTGAGAATGTGATTGTGGAAGACCTAGCCCCCCACACACACACCATCAATGCCTGGGTCAGGTGGAAGAGCTGGCCCTGTGGTCATAAGTGAGAGAACTGTCCCTGATCTCCCACCAGCTGCAACACTCAGGAGAGCAGGCCCTGCACCTCCACAAGGCAGCACAATACAGCCAACCCTACTAGTGCAGGTGTGGTGAGCCAGCCCCAAAATTGTGACCATGGGAGAGCTATTCCCATTTCCCATCTGGCAGACCAACCCTGTAGCTAGCCAGGCCCAGACCCAGGGTTATGACTTGGCCCACCCCAACATTCACCCCACCTATGATCTGCTGGAGCACATGAAGGGATCTGACCCACAGGCCCAAAGCTACAGGATCTCTGCAACACAGGATGCCAGAGGGTTGCACAGGAAGAGTCCTAGCAGGGGCCCAGCAGTGAACATGTAGTGGAGACCAGGGGCCTTGAACCAGACCAATGACTCTGCAAGGAACACTTGCAAGTAGAGACGTATGGACGAAAGGGTTTACAGCTTGATTTGTTGAGTGACACTGCAGCTTCCATGATGAGATTTTTCATTTTAATTCCTTCCCTTTTTAAAAATTTTTCTCATTTTATTTTCTTGGGTTTTTTTTCTCTTCAATTTTGTTTTATTTCGGGGGAGGCAGATGTGAAGGGATGAGGAATAAATGCAATCAAGATACATGATGTGAAAAACACACAGAATAAAAAAAGACTAAAAACATAATACTGTTAAGTGGCAGTGGATAGTCTGGTCTTTGTCTAAGTACTGGCTTTCCTGCAGCCTCAAAGGCAGCTGGGTTAAGAGGCCAATGTAAGGATACACTGCACTTGAATTCTGCAGTGTGTCTGCAGGTCTGTTCTTTGTAATGCGTCAGGTTTTTGTTGTTGTTGGTGTTTTTTAAGGATTAAAAGAAAAGATCAGAACAGTTCTTGAAATACTTCCATTCAAAGACAAAGAGGCAGGAAGAAGCAAAGAATAAAGGGAGAAAAACATCACACAGATGAAACCCTGCCCCCAAGTGGGAGGAAACTCAGAAAATAAGGACGAGCCAGAGGAGGAGGAAGAACCAGAAGAGGAGGGGAAATCTGAAGAAGCTTCTGGGAAAGGTTGATTCAGACTCTGCGGGAGTCGGAGAGGATCACACAGCAGGCATCTGAGCAGTGGGGATGCAAGGGAAGAGGATGAAATAGACGAGATAAGGAGAGACAAAGTGATGCTTTGGGAGGACGGTCAAAACCATCCTTACCCCGATTTCATGTAATTCGCCTTGATTTCTATTTTATCTGATATTATCTTGGTGTGGTAGTTTGAATGTAATTGGCCACCATAATCTCAAAGCAGTGGCACTTTTGGAAGGTGTGGCATTGTTAGATTGGGTATGGCCTTATTGGAGGAAGTGTGTCACTGTGGAGGGTGGGCTTTGCGGTTTTCTATGCACAGGATAACACCCAGGGTCCCAGTGAACTTTCTGTTGTCTGCAAGATGTAGGACTTTCAGCTATTCATCAGCACCATGTTGGCCTGCATGCCACCATGCTCCCTGTGATGATGGTAATGGACTGAACCCCTGAAACTGTAAGAGGACCACCCCAATTAAATGTTTTCCTTATAAGAGTTGCCATGGTCATGGTGTCTCTTCATAGCACTAAAGACCCAAACTAAGATGCATGGCAATATAGCTTTCTTTTGATCAGCATTTTCATGATCTACATTTGCCCATCTTCCTACAGTGAATCTGTTGCTGTTGGTGGTATTAGATATCCCTCTTCTTTGTACCTTAATATTCACTATATTTGGAATCAACCGACAAGCTTCTGGCTTTTATTTAATAAGAGTGCCTTACTGATGTGTAAAAACAGGAGCTTCTGATAGGGTACACAGTAAGAAAAGGTTACAAAGAAATTTGAGAGTATTGTAGTCTTGAAAGACAAGAGTACCTGGTGTATTACATATATGCACACATAAACTTGTGAAAGACAGAAGAATCTAGCTTCATTGGTTGAATTATAAATGATATTTTCTGCTTTTTGTTAGTTAGTTTGTTTTGTTTTGTTTTTTTTAAGACAGGGTTTCTCTGTATAGCCCTGGCTGTCCTGGAAGTTGCTGTTTTGAACCTTTCTCTGCATACCAGGCTGGCCTCTGCCTCCTGAGTGCTGGGGTTAAAGGTGTGCACCACCACCATATGGCTGACATTTTCAAAGGTTCCCACCAAGCGTCTGAATGGTTGGAATAATATTTTACAGGGTCAATGTGGGGCAGTTCAAGAATGGATCCTTCTTGCAAATTGCTCACTTCCTAGGAGATAAAGCAATGCCCTCCTTCCCCCAGGGATTGGTGGGAAAGGGGAGGAGAGGTTGGAGCTGGAAACCACATCATTAGGTGCTGCAGTTTCCGTTCCAATAACTGCCTACAGATCCAGAAGGATCCAGTGTGACAGTGAAGCCAAGGAACCTTCTTCCCAAAGGATGAGCTCAGCCAAAATCTCAGAGAAGAGGGAGGAGACAAACAAAAACCCCTCCAAGCCCAGGGGCCAGCACTTCAGCTGGCCATCCCAGGCTTCAGCTCCAACCTAAAGTCTAGACTGGAATCCTGTCTGCGCCTCACTTTTCCTTCAATGATGGGCTATGAGCTGGCCCCCCAGGAACACTCATGTTCCTGGGGAAGGGGTAGTGGCAGCTCTGTTGCCTTTTGGGGACTCAGGTATGTACATCCCAATCCTCACTCATGGCTAAGGGCAAGTTGACCAGATGCTTTCCAGTATGCCAATTGGCAATAACTGGGACTTACGGTACAAATGAGATCAGGTAAGGCCTGAATAAACTCAGGCATAAGTCCCTTAAATAACTAGGTGTCACTGTGTTAAGCAAGGCTGATACCCTCGTGGTAGACTCCTACAACAATAATATATCTATTTTCAGCCAAAAATTTGTGTGATTCTAGTTGAACAGCCCAGAGGTCTTCCTGTCCAGCACAGGAAGACATGTGCGATAAATGCACCCAAAAGTATGACGACTACTAACTTTTCTTTTAAAATTACATCCTTAAAATAAACATGCTTTAGGTATCTACTCCTTAACTGTGCATGCTCAGGAATAGGCCTGGTTATGGTTTGAATGAGAAGGGCCCCCATAGGCTCCTGTATTTGAATATTTGCTCTGTAGTTGGTGGAACTGTTTGGGACAGACTAGGAAATGTGGCTCTACATGCCTTTAATCCCAGCATTAGGGAGGCTGAGGCAGGTGGATCTCTGAGTTCAAGGCCAGCTTGGTCTACAGAACAAGTTCCAGGATGGCCAGGGCTACACAGAGAAACCTATCTCAAAAAAAAAAAAAAAAAAAAAAAAAGCATATGCCATTCTCAGTTAACTCTCTCTGCCTATGCTTTTGGATCAAGATATAAATTCTCAGCTATTGTATCCTGTGTTCATCCCGCTGGGTGAGAATAAGACCACTACCACCATTTTAAGCCAAATTTTAAAACAAGGTCCATGGATACTGACCACGTCCATACCTGGTATTCCCAGAGTATGGTCCCAAATTACATTAGTCAGAGGTTTATAAAGGCAAAACCCACAAGGCTATGTAATTCATACCTTCACCCAATCAGGGACAAGCACACATCCTGATGTACTCCTGCTTACATGTAACCCAGCACACGTGCTGTGCAATTGGTGCACCCATGCTTGTCTACAGAAGTGAAAACACTACACGTGTTATCTTACATGAACCCCCAGCATTCCATCTGTCCTTGGATGAGTGGGACTTACAGGCTAGAGGCATTTTTATCTTAAATATGTCTTAAGCACAGTGATTTAAACTTAAAACACAACTCTGGCCATCACACCCTCCCAACCCCAAGTTGTATCCTTGACTCTGTAATGGGCACCTGTTTAATAATCATCAGCTTAACGGTAGCCAGATGTGGATTTATGTATCTATTTAAGGCATTAATGATTAATGATGCAAGGGCCAACAGTAATTAGCAGAAACAGAAGAAACAGAAGAGCCAAAGGCCCTTTGATGACTGACATCAGAGTCACTATCAAAGTGGAGCCTTTTTATTTCATTTCTTGTCCCATTTTTTTTGAGTACAGCCAGATTATCTCTAATTATTCCCCAGTGGTTTGCATAGAAATGATTTTTTTTTTTTTTGCCCAGCAGTGGTGACACATGCCCTTAATCCCAGTACTCAGAAGGCAAAGGCAGGCAGATCTCTGTGAGTTCAAGGCCAGCCTGATTTACAAAGCTGATTTACACAGAGAAACCTTGTCTTGAAAAACCAAAAAAAGGAAAGAAAAGAAAAGAAAAAAATTCTCTTAAAGCCATATGATAACCCCCTGTAGGGTTGAGCCCCACAAAACTATCCACCCTAAGGGTGGAGATAAGGACATTTAGGACAGGTGGAGATACAAGAAAGTGGAAGAGAAACGAATCCTACTTCTCTTCTCTTTGGAGGCCTGCCACGCTTCTGATTCCTCAGCTTGTGTGTAAGTTCTTATTCTGGTAAATAAAAATATTATATTTCATCTTGCATTGATCTCCATCATCAGCTGGTGTCAGGGTAGAAAGTCCACGCC